GACAAATGGAACAGGAGGTTATAAAAGAATGGGTCTCTGTCTGGCCATTTTGGAGAGACAAAAAGAAAACTGGTTATGGAGACAGATAGACTCACTCCACATTTTGGAGGAGAAACCATATTCATTCATTTATTCTTATTTTGTTTGAATCTGTTTATTACTTGTACCCTAGACTGGGAATATAAAGAAAGGAATAGTTAGCTATCAAGGTAGCATCCGTCTGTCTTCAGACAACAGAATTAGGAACCGTTAAAAGTGTATGTCAGTTTGCTTTAAGTATCACGTGCGCCAGCCGAAATATGCCCTAAGCCAGAGGTTGGCAACCCCTGGCATGCCATTTTGCTTGGCATGCCGCGGCCAGCCCCAGCTCCAGGAAGCTGCTGCCACCGACAAAGCCAGGGCTGCTCCAAGCAGGGCTTGCAGCTGCCTGCTGGGAGCAGACCGGGATCCCGGCTGGCAGCAGCTCCCCAGAGCTGGGGCAGCTGCAGCCAGGAGGCTCCAAACAGCTGTGCTGGGCTCCAGCACCAGCTCCACACTAAAACGAGCAGGCACGCCTTGGAGTGGGCAGTGGGGGCAGGGCCTGAAGCAGCACAGCCCCAGTCTCTCCCCCGCTCCCAGAGGTGATGAGCCCAACGCAGCTGTTTGTAGCCAGCCTGCTGCTGCAGTTGCCCAGAGCCCAGGCTCCAGCAGCTACCCAGAGCCGGGGTAGCTGCTGGCAGCCACAGAGCCTGGGCTGGGGGCAGGGGCTTTGGGTGGGAGGCAAGGGGCACAAGCAGGGCATCTTACCATGTACCCTTTGCCCTCATTTTGTTTTTCTGCCATGCCGGCACTCCGGCACTTTCCAAGGTAGGCATTATGGTGTTTTTTGGCACTCCGGCCAAAAAACGTTGCCTACCCCTGCCCTAAGCCTTGAGATTCTTCAATGTTTGAATTCTGGGGAGAGTTGTGTATTTAGCTACTGGGGAGTTACAGAAGTAAGGAAACAGCAGTGAAGCCCATGCTCCACTCCCTGGGTCCTTTCTTGCTCTATGGCAGCCAGCCAATTTACAGCAACAGCCACAAAAGGGGCGGTGCGAGTTTGCGTTCAATAACTATACAATAACTGGTTCTTTCTTCAAGGGTCCAGACTTACACAGATTAGAGCAGGAACCAAAGTAACTTTTTATAGTGGAACAGTAATCAACTATTACATATCTTGTAACAGCATCTGTGGTTTCAAATGTGTTTCCTAGTTATGGATGCTGCAGATGCAGAGAGTAACATTTGCAGACTTCTTTTACGGTAGAGGAAAAAAAATATAAAGCAGAACTTTATATTGTACTTTATCATCTCCACCTAACTGAAAACAGCATGTATACAGAAAGCTACTATTACATAGACTTTACATGACTCATTCAAGATAGGGAAGAATTACTTACTTGATCTTCTCCATATATTCTGGTGTATTCTGGTTAGTCATATTTGATGGACTAATATGCAACTTGAAGTCTGGTCCAAAATACTCAAAGTAGTCATTGTATGGCAACTCTATTAAAAAGAAAAAAAAAAGATACTTCAGCTACTTGAACAGTTTTTCTGTAAAACTCACAGGTTCATGAAAGATTTTAAAAAGTGCCACTGCCAAACATTTGACACACACACAAAATATAAGGCTTGTAGTACTGACATCACACTGAAAATGAAATTTGAACTTTTTAGACATAAAATGGAGAACAGAGAAACACTGTAGCTGAGGCGATGTTAAGACAATCAGTCAAACTTTCTACAGCTCCCATCATTAGGTGAGAAGACAAAATACTGATGACTGCTTATAGATTACAAACCACGACAGAACAGGATGTGCAGGTGGAGGAATGACACTATGTTCAGGATAATAAATAGTACCACCAAAAAAAAATCTTATCTGAAAGGCAAACTACCATAGAATCCCTGAGGGTAGAAAATCTGCACTTTAATAACAAAAATACTAGGATTGTGCTATTAACCACCTGATCAGGAAGGTGAAGGCAATTATAAAATGCTCAGGGAAATTAGAGAAGGTGCTAAAATGGGACAAGCAGCAATAACAGGAGACTTCAACTACCCTCACAGACTGGGTAAACACCTCATCAGGGAGAGATATGGAAATAAAATATTTCAATGTGATAAGCAACTGCTTTCTACAACAATTCATCTTGGAACCCACAAAAGGAGAAGCAATTCTAAACCAATCCTAAGTAACACACAGGACTTGGTTCAAGACGTATCTATTGGTCAGTCACGCTATAATACCGACCAAAACATAACTGCATTCAATGTTCTAGAGAGAGGGACCAAAAACTAGAGGGAGCCAACTTTAGGAAGGAAAATTAATTAACAGTCTAAAGAAATATTAAAAAATGTAAAAGGCCTGCAGGCAGCTTGGAAGCTGTTTAACAATACCATGCAACTGACAACTCAGATTGGGAAATTTTCCTGACTTTGACACACCCACGAGACAGGGCCCAACGTTCCTCTGATTTATGCCAATGAACCTGAAGGACTTGCCTGAAGTTCCTCAGTATTATAAATCAAAAAGGGTACCATGTGGTCCAACAAAACTCAGGCATGTTTTAATAGTAGAGTTAAGGAGGCCATTCAAGGCAAAAAGGCAGCCTTCAAAAAAAAAAAAAAAAGAGGAAGGCAGGCATGTCCCAAATGAGGAAAACAGGAAAACTCACAAATTTTCGCAGGTCAAGCATGGAAGTGAAATAAAAAGGCCAAAAAGAATGAGAAACAACTAGCAAAAAAATGCTACAATTAATCATAAAAACTTTAAAATACATCACAAGCAGGAAGCCAGCTAAAAAACTGGTGGGACCATTTGATGAATGGGGATAAGGTCATACTAGGGAGAAACAAATTCAATTTGTTTGAACAAAGAAACAACCAAAGAAACAAATTCTTTGTTTCAGTGTTTGCTACAGAAGATAACTGGAGGAATTCCCTTGCCAGAGCAATTCTTTCTAACAGATAGGTCTGAAGAGTTAGATCACACTGAAGTGACAAAAGAAGAACTGATAAACTAAATATTAATAAGGCCCCAGGAATGGATGGTATTCACCAAAGAGTTTTGAAGGAACTCAAAAAGTGAGAGTGCACAACTACTGGCAGTGGCATCAATATGTAACCTATACAACCTACAAATGGCTTCTGTACCAGAGGCCTGGTGGGTTGCCAACATAATTCCCATCTATAAAAAGGGCTCCAGAAGTGATCCTGGAAACCAGTCCAGTGAGTCTCATTTCCATGCCTGGCAAGTTGGTAGAATCTATAGTGAAGAATAAAATCAGTAGTTACATGGACAAAGAGGATCTGCTGAGGAAGAGTCAGCATGGTTTTTAAAATCCTGTCTCACCAATCAGCTGGAGTTCTTTAAGAGTGTTAACAACCATGTGAATAAGGAGAATCCACTTGACATAATATGTTTGAAATTTCAAAAAACTTTTGACAATGTTCCTCACCAAACGACTGGATTGGCATAGAATTGGTGATAAGGTATTTTCATGGACTGAAAGCTGTTAAAAGATAAGGAGCAAGGGGTAGGGCAGCAAAATATATGGTCACTTTTCAGGACAGGGGGGTCAAGAGAGGGGTCCAAATTTTGTCCAACATTTTCATCAATAACTTGGAAATAGAGATGCATAGTAAAATCTCAAAATTTGCAGAGGATACCAGGGTATCCCAGTAAAGTCCCAAGTTGATGGAGAGGAAAGAAAGATCTGACCAAGGTAAGTGAGAGGGCAAAAAATGACAAATGAACTTCAAGTGTTGACAAGTGCAAGGTAATGTGCACCAAGTACAGCTTAACTGGTGCACAACCTCAACTATACGTACACGATGTTGTGTTCCTTTATGCCTTCAAATGCTTGCAAAAAATCAAAAAAGAAAGCATAGAGAAGAAGAGTGAATACAAAAGTCTGAAGTTTCTAAGGACAGAGAGCCAGGATTTGTTCGCAGCAATAATTAAATTTAGAGTACTAGCACTGAAGTTGAAGAGCAGTAATGAAAACCTAGGACAAAGTGTGTAGTAAGCAGAATTCTGAAATTGGCAAAGCCTTCCAAAACTAAATTGGAAAGAGCAAACAACCAAGCCAACAAGTGATTGATGTTTTACTGTAAGTCCTTTCAAAAGGAATCAGAAAGATATCATGCTGCTTTGAACATATGACACCCTAAACCTTCTGGCTCCCAATTTGAGAAAAGTATAAAAGATCAAAGACATGTCTATGGTGCTTGTAAGAGAATTTTTTTTTAAAGCAAAACAGAATAAAAACACTGAATTTAAGATTCATGCCATTTTAGAACTTTTCTGTTCTAAAAAGTAAGTTTTATATTCAAATGAATACAGCATTAGCTCACAATTCAAGATTACAGAAATTTCTGGAGCATTGCTGGTAGGGCTTTAGTACTATGATTATCACCATAGTACAAGTGCCTAAAACAGTAGCAACACTGTAGACAAGAAGTGGACCCAAGGTAAAAGTGGCAAAGTAGAAGTTTTTAGGGAGGCTTTTTTAGGTCAAAAAATTATATTAAATTTCCAAAAGTAAAAAGCAGCACATTTATTAACACCTTATTGCAGCCAAGGTCAAAATGATTAAACAAAGCAACACAGTATCTTGAGATGCTGGATTCTAGGCACTGGAAAAACATCTTCTGCATAACAGAATTGGAATACTGCTGTTTTAAAATCTAGTTTATTGCTACCCATTTCAACCTGAACTGGATAAATATTAAGAAAATTAGTTTGATTCCAAAAACAATACAACAGAAGAGAAGTGAAGCATTATCGAGACATTTGAAAAATAATACTTTTCAGAATTAATGTTTACCATTGGGAATTTCACAATCTAAGGCAACTGCAGTTTCATACGTCCAACATCGAGCAACATTACGAATAGTGTAGCCACCTCCTCCTAGCATCAGCAATGGCAAGTTAAATGTCTTTACAACTTCCACACATTTAGCGTGACCTGTCAAAAAAAACCACAAAAAATGTAAATCATGCAACTGGAACAGGAAAAACTTAGCTGCTTATTAGTAAGTTACATGCATCTAATAAAAGTGGTAAAATTGAACCTTAGCAGAACAATATTTAGCTCTTTACTGAACTAAGCATAACTGAAGCAAAGATGATGTTAAGCCTGGCAACTGCAAAACAGACCAAATACAGGCCCAGTATTTCTACCTTAGCTCTTCTTTCAGACTCCTTAAGCCATCCTCCTATTTTGCATCACTAGCCCTGAAACTTCCATGTTTTTTGAGAAGATATAAATGACAAAACTAAGGCAGATTTTCAGCTCAACACGAAGAGGGGAGGGGTCAAAGGACAAGGTTGCAGTTCTATGAGCCTTCCTAGTTCTGTACTGGTCCTAACATATACTACAGTAACTTAAAGGTATACTCTAGGGCTCAGTTGAGACTAAGGAATCCACATCTAGACAGATCTAGCCATAGGCATAGTGCAAAGTGGTCCAGCCTCTAGTTATTTCAAACTCACAGCACATTTTGAAGACAGTGTTGAGGCTAAGGCAACGGTGTCCTATCGTTTAACTCCACAGGCTGAATGAGTGGTGCAGGGCAGGTACATGTGCTAGACAGGTCCCCACCACCCTACCCTCAGCCCTTAATGTGCCAGCATAAATCTAAAGCACAAGACATTTAATTTGGCCCACAGGGCTTGTAAGTTTTGTGGTGGGGTAGCACTGGCAGTATTAATTGCCACTCCCCCTTGGGTCAACCAAATTTCTGGACCCTTGGGGATCTCCAGGGGCTGAATCACATAGCACCACAGATCAAATTTGTGCATCTGAAGCTCCATTTTCAGTTGCTGGCTTTGCCGCAAAACTTCATGCATTACCTTAAATAAGTGGTTTGGGTGAGACTTAACAAAATTGGGAACATGACTGCTCTCTGCAGCCACAAAGACATATTTCTAGTAGTACTATCCTGTTGTTATACAGCATTTTTCATCACCTATCTCAAACTGCTTTACAAAGCAGAACAGCATCATTTCCATTTTATATATGGGAAAAGGAAGGTATGTACATGTAAAGCAACTTGCTTAAACCCACCCAGCTGGTTAGACACCAAGTCAAATAACACAACACTGATTTGTCTAGTCTTAAAACAATGCTCTTACTTTAAGTCACATTGTCAGGAAGATTGTTTATGAGGACGATTATGTTAAAGAAAATGTTAACTGAACTGTTATTTTCCTAAGTGTATCACAGCAGTTCTTAAAACAATGAAGTGCTGGTTTTGTTTAACTTTCCCACATTCTTTTTAAATTGGGAGAATTTAGCAAACTTTAGAAGTTATTTCCTCTCAATTTTGCTAGTACTAACATGGAAGCTTGCTTGTGGAAAAAAAGAATGAAACACTCGCTCATAAAAATACAGAAACAAAAACACAGTGGTGTTCTGGAAAATTTGACAATGTGACCAAACGTGGACATACACCTTAGCTTACTCCTCAGTTCAGTACTGAAACAATTCAAGGATACAGCTTCCTTAATGTTCAGCATTGTATACAGAACCCTATCAAAGTGACTTGTTTTACTCCATGTACATTAAATTCAGCCCAAGATTGCAACTATTACCCCACATTCTAAAACTTCAGGTGTCACAAATCATTATTCAATCATTTGGGAGGATGGAAACTCCTTTCCTGCCAAATAAAAGTTTAACTCCATTAATTAGAATCATCATAACATTACTGTGAATTCTTGAGCATGTTCACTATTGCTTACCTTTAACAGTAAGATTAAAACATCCCAACCTATCACCAGACAAGGAATCTGCTCCACACTGCAATACCACGGCACTGGGCTGGTACATCTCCATCACCTTGGATATAATCTGTAAACAAAAAAAAATCCCAAGTCTTGAACTCAGCCACACAGCTACCAACCAACCATCTGGAGCAGGATTTAGACAATACTCACTGGTTTGAATATCTGCCCATATGATTCATCATCTATGCCATCCCTCATTGGAAAATTGACAGCATAGTACTTGCCTTTGCCTGCACCAATGTCCTACAAGTAAAATTGACAACTATGTTATTATAAAAGACAGTATTTCCCAGAACTACAGCAAACAGCACACCAACATAACACTGTTATAGTGGCTTGTCCCATTACTCCAGACCACAAGGCAAAAAAAAAAGGCAGCTCACTTAATTTCCCATTCGTCCTCAAGATCATTTTGAAATACGAAAACTAGGCCAACGGCTACTCACAGAAGAAAGTACAGACCTCCAAAACACTTGATTTTTTTAAATTTAAATATTTTAAGAGAAAATATTACTATGAATCAGTTCAGTACACCAAAAATCAATCAAAAACAAGAAAGATATTTGGGAAGAACAGGTGGACATGCATGTTTGTGATGCTCCATAGAAGATCCAAGTTTAAGAGGTCCTTGAAAATCACATGCCTCCCCACAATCTCCAGGTGAGGAACTTCTGTGGAAAACAGATACTGTTGCATTAGAGAAAAGTTACTAAATAGAAACCATTTTTAGGCTTCCCCATAGAAGTGAAGGCTTTTAAAATAGGAAACTGCACTTGCATATTATCCTTAGGAAGGGGTAACCAGCCATATGGTTTAGTAATTCCTCCTCCCTATATTGGCTGATGCATGAAGTAACAATGAAGCCCTTAAAAATAAACCACTCATGTAGAAATGTGCCATAACAATTCATTAAGTGACAAACGCATGCAATGAGAAAAAAGATGCTTCTGTTTCCTCCCCAAAAATATAGGCTTTTAACAAAAAAAGGTACTAAGCTTATCAACCTATACAAGCAGCCTACTGATAAATCTGAAAACACTAAGCTGCAAGAGGATTCTTGCCGCTCAAGTGATATTAAGTCACACAGCTTTACTATAGTTGACCAATTATTATTTTGTGAATTCATAACTTTGACCCAGGACCAAACATTTTATTAACTGGAAAATAGTGTGCTGCTGTGCACAGACATTTTTTCAGGGGCAAATAGGGCATTTTTTCCAAATTTTTAAAATATGCAGCTTGATTAGTAGTACAACAATTAAATCACCTGTGGTGCTTCTCTCAAAGAATCAAAACTGTAACATGAATGCATGGAGTACTGGCTGTTTATGCGCTTTTTTTCTCCCTGCCCCCAGTACCAGAAGTACTATTAAAGATTTCCTAAAGTCTAAATTAAAGTTTATAAGTGATAACAGAATCAGAGACATCAGACATGCTAGTTCAAATTCTTGGCTCTTCTGGGGTGGAAGTCTCTCCCCACCCAGACAGAAAAAAAAAGGGAAGGGGGAAGGGTCCCTTCTTGACCCCAAAGTGGATTGAAGCCAAATGTTAAAACAAGAAAACCCATCCTTATTAAACAAACTTGCTTTTCAGCAAGCACTACCCAAGATTGTCAAAAACTAAAATATGCCTAAGTAACATTTTCAGAAGCCTATACTAGTATAGGTTAAAATGCTAAAGAAACAACATAGCTAAAATTAGTGGCTACCATTGAATATCTGCATTGGTGCATCTAGCATCAGAAAATCTCTCACTTGGTTTATCCAGTTATGCTATGAAACAGGAAGGTCTATTCTGTCATTCTCCAAGTGGCACAGAAGGCCAGGCAGCTGCTGAAAACAACTATCTAATGGGTACGGAGCTAACATGGCTGAAACAAAGGAAAGTGTCTGACCGAGAACCAGCTGAGAAGGGTTACTGAAGGAAGAAGCTATACCATATTTGTCCAAATCTACAGACAACTCTGAATTTAAGAGGACTGCCCAATAGTTAGATTCTATACATACATTATAATTTTTCACGTACATAATCTAATTGTTGGAGGGTCATCCTAAGTGTGTCCCCCAACCACTGTGGTGGGGAAAGCAAAGGTGTGAGGCATGTGGGGGGGGGGCAGGGCAGGAGGAAGCAAGCAGCAAGGGAGAAGGCAGATGGCTTCACCCCTGTTCCTTGCCTCCCAGGCCTGCATACCCCCCCAGCTATTAACTGTGGGGGGATGTGGGCACAATAGAGGGGAGCAACAGGCTACAGTTGGACCTAGATAGGTTACAAGGATGGGCAGAGGAGAACAGGATGGGGTTTAACACAGACATGTGTAAGGTGATGCACCTGGGGAGGAACAATCGGCACCATACATACCGGCTGGGGAACTCCCCTCTTGTCAGCATAGAGGTGGAAAAGGATCTGGGAGTCATTATTGACTCCAAGATGAACATGAGTCGGCAATGTGGGGAGGCGGTTAGGAAAGCCAACTGCACCTTGTCGTGCATCCACAGATGCATCTCGAGCAGGTCCAAGGAGGTGATCCTCCCCCTCTATGCGGCACTGGTCAGGCCGCAGCTGGAGTACTGCGTCCAGTTCTGGGCGCCGCACTTTAAGAGGGATGTGGACAGCATCGAGAGGGTCCAGAGGAGGGCCACTCGTATGATCAAGGGACAGCAGGGTAGGTCCTATGAGGAAAGGTTGCGGGACCTGAACCTGTTCAGCCTTCAAAAGAGAAGGCTGAGGGGGGATCTTGTGGCCTGTTATAAACTGGTTAGGGGGGATCAGCAGGCGCTGGGGGAGTCCCTGTTCCCCCGAGCGCTGCAAGGAGTGACCAGGAACAATGGTCACAAGCTGGCGGAGGGAAGGTTTAAGTTGGACATCAGGAGGCGCTACTTCACGGTCAGGGCGGCTAGGGTCTGGAACCAGCTTCCAAGTGAGGTGGTGCAGGCTCCCACCCTGGGGGTTTTTAAGAGGAGGTTGGATGACCACCTTACTGGGGTCATTTGACCCCAGTGCTCTTCCTGCCATGGCAGGGGGTCGGACTAGATGATCTGCTCAGGTCCCTTCCGACCCTAGAAACTATGAAACTGCTTGCCATTTTCCCACCCCTGGCACCTGTCCTCCCCCTTCCACTGATCTGGATGCTGGGAGAGCCCCAGAGCCTCTCCTGATACTTCAGGGAGCAGCTGTGAAAGGGGCCGAACTTAGCCATGGATGGCAATCATAGTGCATTGGTTCCACCTTCCAGCACCTGCTCCTGGTCAGCAGGGAGCTGGGCAGGGAGCAGGCAATGGAGGAAGAAACTTGTGCCTCACCACCGCTGCCCCTCGTCAGGCTGGGCTCCCTCCACAGCTGATCCCTGCAGCGTGGAGCAGGAGCATCTCTGGGGCTTCCACTGCACCCGGATCAACCTGGGATATCACTGCTTGCCCCAGCTCCCAGCTGAAACAGTCCCATACTCGATTCTAGGACAAGGCTTTATTTTCTCCATGTTTAATATGGAAAAAACCCTAGGTTAGAAGCGAGTAAACACTCTGCTACTGAGGTGGCCTTGCTTGAATTTCGAGGAAGACATCACAGCAATACTGGCTATGAATCAGACTTGCTATATGAAGACTAAGAGGAAATTTCAAATCTGAATTGAGTCCACAGACCACAAACAAAGACCATTACAAGCTGTCCTGAGATGAGCATCTCTAACAGTACCTTGACTTAAAATATAAAACAGGGTTTTCATGCCTCTGTGCTCCATTAGTTTTACACACTTTTGAGAAATGAAAAACTTGGAAGTCTTTTCTCACTGTTCTTCTGTAGCTATCCAGTCTAATAAGAAATTTTCATTCTACTTCATTGCAAAACACTATTACAAGCATTTTTACAACCACGTGAAATTGAAGTCTATCACACTCAGGGTACGGTCAAAGCATGTGACAGACAGACAGACAGTATTTTTTCTACTTTGTTTCAGCTACCTTAAAATTGAATTCCAGTATCTTCTGTATAGCCAGGAGGGAACTTCATGTTTTGTCATGGGGCTGGCTCTCAAAGTTTCAAACTACCCAACTCTCCAGAAGAAATCTGAGTTTAAGCCAATTAAGTATCCAGGTTTAGTTGTTCAAAGCAACAGTACCATCTTGTGGCCACTCAAGTTAACACACAAAATACAGTAATCTAATTTGAATCCAAAGTAATCTAGGAATGATTTTAGAAAATGTAGCAACACTAGAAGTGTATAACTGCCTTCAACCAGATTAAGATGGACATTTTGCTCATTATTGGCTTACCACTTAACATGTCCTTTCCTACAGTATTCTGTGAATCATCAACCTCTTCTCAGCTCCATACTGAGAAAACTGGAGACACTGTATCAAATACAGACTTCCTGGAGGCAGTTTAAAGGCATCAAAAATAGTACTTTCCTTTCCTTCACATTATAGTCTTGTGTGTAGGTCTTCAATTTTTTTTTTTTTTTTATTTTTTTTTAACACTATTAACTATAATGCATGAGGATTAATGCATTAAACTTCTCAAAGTTGCTTATCTTGATTGTAATGTTACTAAATTAACCCATACTGGGGTATCAGTGTTCTATTACAACTGATGCTTTTCAGAGTAAGTGAATATTTATTGTACAGTCCTCCAAACTATGAATGATTGTGACAGTCAAAATTTACTGATAAATTAAGGTAATCGCAATCTCAGGACTGATGAATCATTTGCAAGCAAGAACTATTTTTCTTGTTCTGTACATACGATTGAAAATGCAGAAGAGATCCCTACAACACAAATTCCCCCTCCAACTCCACCAAAGCCTGGGTGATCCAAGTTTAACATACTTAAAACTACTTAATTCTCTAATGATTTAATAGGGAGTTTCTTCATTTCTGTGTGACACGAGTCAAACTACTTGAAACACCTCCACAGATTATTTCAATGAGTCCACAAACTTTTTCAGAGGGTATAAATTACAGATTGAGGCAAAAAAAAAAAATGTGCACATTATAGTGTATGTATTACCATCAAAAGGGGTAATTAGGACCAAACATTAAGCAGATATCTGCTAGGAAAAAAGGTGAAAAGATAACCTGAATAACAAATTCATGTCTAACCTTACCCTTAAGTCCCCTGTGCCTGGAAAATATTCACCATACTTATGGAATGACACTGTCATAACACGATCTGTTGTATAAAACGCTTCTTCAACACCATCACCATGATGGATATCAATATCAATGTATAACACTCTTTGGTGGTATCTAGGAGGGAAAAAAAAAAAAAAAAAATCACATTTCCCAAAAAGGGTAGAAAAGAAAGTGGCATCATGATTCATGTTAAGTCTGAACAGAAATATAGTACAAGAAATGAAATCCTAATTTTCTAATCAAGAAAAAGGATTATGAAGTTACTATACCCAACTAAAACAAGAAAAGACATAATTTAACACAATTACTGATCCTTAACAAAGATCAACTGATTCCATCTTTGAACACCCAAGCTCTCCCCATTATCCCCAATATGCTCAAATGACACCCCCCAATCTCTCTTATTCAGATCTACTAGAGCTCACCTATTATTTTCAGCATCAAGATCTGTTTTTGTTCACTCTGGCAATATTTTATTTCAGTTTCTTCAACAGCCATTAAGGCTTGCTATTGTAAAGTTTACTCTCATGTGAAAAACTCTTACAGAATACAAAGAACATCATGCCCACGCCAAAGGGCTGTATCAAAAGATAGTTTCTGTGAACTCCCAATTTTCACTTGCTTGTCCCATCTCCCAATCTTCAAAATTTGCTAAAATAACCACATTTCTACTTCCAAGTCCATTTTATTTGTTAATGCATTAGAATAATATTCTGCTGGTATGTGCTAATGCATTTCATATCAGTTTATGAAAGGGATTATATGACACTTATCTGAAACATTACAAAACACAAAGACCCAGAAGGCCCTCTGAAAATAATAAAGTCTGTCAACTTCAAGGAGCATCAATTTGTATACTGAAACAAAAATGAAGTCCTGGAAGCCATTCACTAAAGTTTTTTATAAATTGATATAGTACACCAAGGTGTATTGTTTTTGGACATAATGTTTTCAAAAGAAGGAAAATATTTTTAAATAGAGCTTCGTAATTAGTACATGAAACAGGATAGAATTCTTAAAAGTAGTAAAGAGTCCTTTGCTCTTGGAATTTTCTTCTGCTTTGCTCATTTACATACACTGAAATTGGAGTTATTGACTATTTTCTCTGGCTGAGTTGCAAAGTCACCTCTTTGATGCATTGAGGAATTTGGTAAAATGGGAGATTTAAATTCTGATATATTTTGCTCTTGGCTGCTGGTCTCTCTGACATTAGGACTCTTCCAATCTGCTTCTATTTGATATGGGACTAGAGTCATCAGAGTTAATGAAACAGACAATCACGTATCACTGGTGGTGATGGTTGTAGTGGAGAAGTCAACTTTACTTACACAAACAGGTCACTTATCTATGGTTGATTATATTACATACAGTGCTCTAGGATTGTTCACACTCATTTTCTCTGACAGTCTCTACCCACAAAAGTGGCACCAAACTTGAAACTGAAGAGAAAGCAAACAAGTGTGTACCAAGAAACAGAAGGCTTGATGAAGTGTTGGGATACTGCTGTCATACTTCTTCAACAAATTCCCAATGAAAATAAGGAAAGCAGGTAGGCAGAGAACTTTATGGTCACACTTTAGCCTTCTTTTTTTAAATTAACTTCTTTAATCTGGTCAATTTGTAATTGAAAGGTAGATTCCCTTTAGAGGACTGGCAGGTATCCTTACAGTCTTTAATTGACACATTTAGCCATGACTTGAACGTTTATCATCCTTACTTGTACATAGTTTAGTTCGAATTTCTGTAGTAATGCCAACTGGGGAAAGATTTTTATTTATATTGTGCTGGTTCAACACATACTATGAAAGTTGACCACAAATAAGTTTAAATATATCACCAAGACATTGTAAGCACTGTACATATCCACAGCCACTTTATAACTTTTTAACCCCAAGTTTTCTGACATTTTTATGCAGTTTTAAGTTATACTCCAACTCTTACGATAAACTTACTTCAGTAATTCAAGGATAGCAAGCACAATATCATTGACGTAACAGAAACCAGATGCCTCCGACTTCTTTGCATGATGAAGTCCTCCAGCCCAATTAACAGCCATGTCAGTCTGTTGTCTATTTAATTTTACCGCCCCAGCTAAACAAACAAACAGGAAAACTAGTTAAAATCTCCAAAAGTATTTAAGAATAACTGATAATTCATTCTATTAAAGTTATTCCTTTATGATATTCAGAATGAACCTGCACTCTTACCTTTTAAGATTGCAAATCGCACTAGGCATTCAATTCAAAACTACCCAATGGATTATATTTCACATACGATCATGCTGCCTAGGTTTTAAATACTACTGCCATATTAACCTGGTCAAAATCTCAGTAATCTAAAAAGTACATTCATATACATAACGTACTTACCAACAGAGCCTCCTGTTGACAACTGGCAGAACTCAAACAGTCCATCAAACACAGGACAATCTTCTCCAACATTAACTGTTTAGGAAAAGTGCTGTTAGTTTTCAAGATCACAGTTGTAAGGCACAAAGCTATTACACACACATTTATTCCTCACAGAAATTCAAATCTGACTGGTGGTACTGTCAACAAGTTCAAGTTCAATTAATATTTTACGAACACTTAAAAAAATGTTTAGGTATTCAATGGTTCAAAATTACATTGTACCAGAACCTGGCATTTACAGAATCAACACACTTTTGAGAAACGAAATGAAACTATAGGTAGACAATTTCTATAAAGCTTCTCAAACTGTAGCCAAAACACAGGTGGTTTGTTTTTTTGTTCAGTTTTCCATGAGAGTTGACAGGCCTTGCTTCCAAAAGATTAAATATATGAGCAGCTGTTACAGTCTGGAAATCAGTCTAAGTATAAAAGTCCAGAATGTCTGCAGAAACTTGTACAAAATGGAGTATCCTGTAATAAGTACTTGAAGTTGGCTTTGAAATGGCTGTGTACTTATCTGAACTTAGTTTAAGCAAAACTCATTAAATACACAACTCTGTCAGTGTTGTGGTATTAGCAGTCCACAAACTGACTGGCGCTGTCAATTTTAACCCTTGGACTGCTGCTTCCTCTTCAGTTTCTGATACTAATCATTAAACAGAGTACAACTAACTGCATTATAAAGTAGATGGTAGGGGCTGAAAGATGCTATATTTTTCCCTTTAACTGAAGCGCAGACAACAGATCGTTTATTACAAAAATCTGGAACTGGTACTGTTATGCAGTTAAGTGAGGTAGGAATGTACATGCACATAAATGCAGAATACTGAATTTATTTATAACACCAATTAAAGTGAAAGATTCTAATAGCTTTCTAAGCTGCAATTCAAAATGCTAGGTTCTAAAAAGCGTTAAGTTGCCTGATAAAAGGGAGAAGAACAAATAATTGCTAAGTCCTTTAAGATGCCCCCCCTTTCTATTTCCTAGCTTCAAACCTCTGTCCACCTAAACTTCTTTCAACTAAAAGACTTTACTACTTCTTTTCTTGTGTGATGTGTTCCAAGCCACACAAAGGCCCATTTTAGCTGCTGTCTTATTAACAACTCTGAAACTGACTGGGCTCTACGCATTTCAAGGCTGCTCTTAGAGGCAAGGCACTCTGAGCAACAAGGTAGCAACCACTGCTAACTGCAAACAGTGGAGAGCAGACTTTTTCCAAAGAATTAAGAAAAATGTCTATATCAGCTTAAAAAGTGCAAATGACTAGAACAGTAATACTCAACTACTTGTCTCTGCCTGGCCAATCCCCCACTGCCCAGCACCTCTGCAAGGTGGTAAACAAACACTGCAATATACAAGTTAATTTTGGAAAATAAGTGCCACTCAATTCACAAAAGTTTGAGAGGTGCTTTGAGTCCAAAAAGGTTGAGAACCACTGGACTAGACAGAGGCTGCCTATATATCTGTGATACTAGAGATACCAGGTGAAAGCATCTGAACTGCCCAGGAACTGCAACTCTAAGGAGTAGGAAGTACCATTTCTCTTTCAAGATGTTGCCTTTGAACATATGTATTAACTTTTACAGGTAATCAAGAAGTAAAAAAATTGGGGAATTGAATTTACCCACATGCTATGGGTCCTACATCACTTAGCTCCCATTTCAACCCAGAGGAATCTAGAACAAGAGCATACAAACACAGATTTATCTCAACATTAAGACTTACATCTTTGCATCTGTTTGCTATATTCAGACATATTGTCTGGTCTTATTGATCGAAGAAATTTGATGTACTCATCACTGTGGTACTTGGTCATTTCTTCAGCTGTAGCTTTATGAGGTCGCTGGTAACGAAAACAATTAAAATGAGTTTTATTCTAACAAACACCAGAATGTTGTGACACATTCCATCTTTAACAAATTTATTCAAGTCACATACAATGTGTATTGTAACTGATCAACCTACAGCAATTATTAGCAGATACCAGGAAAAAAAAACAAGGGGAAGAGGAAGGGCAGCAACTATCAACAAAAACACTCAAAATATTTTTAATGCAGTTGTCCGTATATTTTTATCAGTATGATTAATGACAGCAGAACAATGAACAAAAAGTTAAATATTATGTAGGGGGAAGAGGGGGCGGGCAGAGAATGGGACACCACAAATATATTATGGACCTAATTCTGCTTCATCTACAGATAGCAAGCTATGACCCTGTATGTTACAAAGTTTAATTTCATTTTAATGCATCAGGAAAGAAAGAACAATAATGTAACCCAAATGCAGGGATGAGGAAGTCAAAGTTGTATTAAAGCTGCGACAGTTTTAAAGTATTTCCATTTTTACTTGAGGAAAAACATTCAGATTTGCTTCTTCCTTTAAAAACAGTTTAATTACATTTAAAGCCTATGCTTCTGTTTATACTCACATAAATTTCCATTTTTCTGTACAAGCCATAGTTTAGCAACAAGTTGTGGGTCATACGGATCCGATGGGGTTTCATGGGATGTCCCTGGCCATAATAATAGTTTCCAATATCACCTACAAATGGAAAGCAAGTGGACGATTACATTTTCCTGCTACTGCAGAATTACTTTTCATGGCATTCCCCTTCCTTTTTGGTTAACTCTTTGACCTGAGAACTTGCACAGGAAGAATGGATGCAAAAAGGTTAAGCTTTAAGAATTTCTACAAGTAGATTTTGGAGGAGTTATTTGTGTTTGCAAGGTCTGACCAGAGTAATGAATTAATTATAATCAGCAAACGTTTACTGCTTAACAGAGACATTTTCACAACATGATACTACTAGTGCCAACCACAGCACCAGAAAAGGACAGGTCAGAGACTAGGCAAAGGACCCTGATCTTTAAAATATCTATCACCAAAAGCAACTACTCCCACAATTTGTCAGGTAAGCCTATCAGAAATCCCCAACTGTGAACAGTGCTGGGGCCATCAGCAGCTCCAATTAATCATTTGGCACTAAAATGACAGTATTAGCTGGTATTTGGGGAAAGATGACTACAGTTGAGAACATACCAAAGCAGGTCTGGAAGAGACCTCAACAGGTCATGCAATCCAACTTTTCAACCCAATCCAACTGGTCTAAACCAGAAATGTTTGTTAAACCTACTCTTACAAACATCAAATGACAGATTTCACCTCTCTTCTACCACATAAACAGTCTCAGTTAGAAATATCTTCCTAATATTTAAGCTAAATTGCCCTTGTTGCAACCTAAGCTCATAATATCTTGTTGAGTCCAGAAAGTCATGCTCTTAATACAAAAAACGTTTTTATACAGCACCGTATCAGATTATCCCTCTGTCTTCTCTTCAGGCTACACAACCCTAATTCTTTCACCCTTCCCTTATGTGAACTTGGTTGGACGATGGGGTGAAGAGCAGCCTGTTTAAATTCACAGACAACACCAAGATTTGGGGTGAGGTGGGCACGCTAGAAGGGAAAGACAGATTACAGCAGGACCTGGACAGGTTACAGGGGTGGGCAAATGAAAATAGGATGGGATTCAATACTGACAAGTTCAGGGTGCTGCACTTAGGCAGTAGGAACTAGCAGCATACCTATAGGCTGGGGAACTCCCTTCTCAAAAGCA